CTGAATGTCTACCTTGCGAGCAACATGTCCACCACCCTCTAACAAAATTGTATTCTGTTACATAATATCGACCAGGATGGTAGTGGTCTTTATCCAATCCAGGCTGATAACAACCAATTTCACCTGTAGGTCCATACTCTTCGGTCTCACTATTTCTCTCATCTTGTGACGCTCTGCAGCATGTCCATTGCTTCTTTATTTGATCATAATCGCCGATATGAATATACATCTCATGTTGTCTATACCAATTCGTAGCTTCTGCAAGTAGGTCATGAATAAATTGGTCTTTCCAAGATGCATATTCTTTAACTGTCACATGTGAATTCGCAACTGTACGTTTCTTATATTCATTGTATCTCTCACGGGCATGCGGATGATTACGAAGATAATTCCGAAAGATAACGAAGTCATTATTATCAGACGAAGACAAGCGCCAAACAGTGTGAATAATGAAACCGTTCTAAAACAGTGCCTTTTTCTGGCTAACTAGAAGAAAAAGACTAAATCTATACAAACTTAGTACCTTGATCAGCGTTGCATTATCGCAGAAATCGTGCATCGACACCCTTCCGTCTTTAGTTTTGTAACCCATTTTGATCAAAGTATTGAGTGTTTCGTAACTTGTCGTTGCACCCCAACTGTCTCTCCGATTACCATGAATGAGCAACATATCAATAATAGGCTTTGCACACATTCCTTCAATACTAGTGCTACCTATATGTTCTAGCTCTAACATTAACGGCCGCGGATGCCGTTCTTGATCGTGATAAGAATGTTTTGGGAGTCTCTTCTAAATCAAACGGAAGAAAGAAAAATAAACCAACAAACGAGAAGTTTGATTGGAACAGCTTTGATTTCTTACAACAATTTCTTCATATTCTTGCTGAAATAAATTTGGCCACTGTGGATTATATTCTTGCAATTCTACCTGCTGAGACTCATAACTATCCCATGATAATGAAGTATACTGTTCGCCTGTCATATCTTCAAAATAGTAATCGCATTCATCGTCAGAATGTTCTGGCGTTTTTACAAGTTCTTGTGGTAATTTTTTTCGCTGGATAGATTCTATAAAAGCACGATTTCCACCTTGTCGATATTTTTCGATTCGTGATGAGTGTTCTACATAAAAATCATCTTTAAATATCCAAACAGTTTGCTGTCTATGACAACGCTCATTTTGTTTCTTGCTTATAATGGTCCACGTAGGCATCTCTAGTAGCGATTGTCGTTGGTAATAACAAGCAGGTAATATAGAAACTTTACTTACCGTAAGAGTATTCAGCTGCACGTAATAAATAATATAACCAACAGTAATCTTTTTGTGAATGACGCTTCTATAAAACACCAGTCGAAAACGATGAAAACAAAACGAGAAGAAGTTTGCAAAGTCATCATAAATCTTTCATGAAGAACGTATAAGTCTTGTAAATGGTATTTTTATGACGATAGACAGCGGTAGCTTCGGCAAATCAAAATCTGTCAACGATCTCTTGGAGATATAGGCAAGAGAAATTGTATTTAGATAAGAATTGGACATTCACATGTTTATATTTCGATTGGCTTTATTTTTATACAATGTTTTCGCCAAACATTTCACAGTTCAATACCAACAAATTGAGCTTAGCCACTCGCAATATATCAGTCACCACTGCAGACGCATCAGTTTTATGTTAGTAGCTCAATTGCTAATTCGAGATCAATTGTTCAATCGACGTAGTCAAATTGGCAAGTTTCTTCTCCAGATTAATATCTGTTGTATTCTAATAGACCTAGGATGATGAATACAATCGGGCTGTATAAATGTCGCAGTGTATATTTTACGTTATTGCAATTCACGTTGAATGGAGACTTGAAATTGTTATATCTACAAATAGTTTATTGCAAAAGATTTGATATAAATACTCAAATATTGACATGAATCGTTGCGATTCCTCAGAGAAAGTAAGGAAATGTTTTTGTGGACTTTTACACAACTTATCAATCATATTATCAGATTTATTTCAATAAAAGCTCTATCTAGACTAAATCAGCTCAATTCAAAACTGAAAAACCTTAATATATAGTTTATCTTAAATGCACGCTCAAACGATAATTTGTCAAAGAGATATCGATATATTGATATGATATTTATTGTCCGCGGTGTTGAATTCCATGTCATTGATTGAAAAAGCTCGTCCGGGACGAATAAGAACTTCTTCTTCTGCGGGAAAGTTCGAAAATGACGAAATATCTAAACCACTGGCATACATGTCCATCTCAATCGTAAATAATGTGTTCCCATATAACATGGCCAAATTTCGATTTTTCGTCGTTGAAACAAAACTATCCCACTGCAGAAAGTCGTCACGCGCGTTTTCATAACAGTTTACTTCTTCAGGTGTGAGTAGAATACCGCGATACACAACACCTCCGTATGCATAATCAGATAATGAACGAAAACTATGATTCAGAATAGAACAAAACGGCCCGAGAGTATCGACTTTGCTCATATCACAACTTCTCAGCACTTCATTGATCAATTTATACAGAAACGTTTCTTTCGTATATAAATGCAAGCAGGACTTTTAAATTGTCTTAAGATCACTGTTAGCAACGAGCACTAAATCATCAGCAATTTCTTTTGCTTGCTTTTTGGAAATATCGTTATTTAATTTTTCACTCTCGACAAGAATACCTTCAGCAGCCTTTTTCACTCTTTGTGTTGTACAATTTGTCCAATGTTCTGCCTCCCATGGACCATATTCCCATGCGTTCAGAAAGCCAGTAGCGTCTTCCCATTTCGCATCGTTAAACGTGCTAGCCTTCGACGGTAACACAACTGGGTTGTCATCGAAAAATCGTGCTATTCTCATGCTCATTTCAATTGCTACTTTTTCTTCCACCAACAAAAAAAAACGACGTCAATGATGAAGTTTTTCCCCTGAATATACTATTCAAAGCATTTAAAAATTGAGTAAACAACATTTTTTTTCTTTTCTCTGCAACATCTGATGAGCGGAGGGAGGCGACAAGACAAACACAATGGAAGCAAAAAAAATACGATAATTCTATGCCGTTTCTATCGTTGCATTTGCGATTTGAGCATGTATTGCACACTAAGGACTGCTGGAATGACACGATTTCGTTTTTGACGAAAAATACCTTTCACAACCGATCGAACGTCTTTCGATAGGAAAAAATAAACATAAAAAGCGAATGCTGAATTGAAGAAAAACGTGATCCGACTGATTTGATAGAAGAAATTCTCTTGAGCCACCCGATATGCGTCTCTTTTCAAGTCAATCGTTAAAACTATATACATAAATCGTGTGCCATGTAGAATAGATGAGATGGCAAACAGACAACTTTCCACGATGATCATCTACAAAATAGAATATGACATTCTAATTCAATTCGGACGCAGT